TTCCATCACAGGCCATGTATGTCTTGTGACCTGCTCACACAGTGACCTTCATCAAGGGCCATGTATTTCTTGTGACCTGGCCTCAGTGTGACTTTCATTTAGTGCCATGTATTCCTGTAACCTGACCGCAGAGTGACATACATCACCGACCATGTATGTCTTGTGACCTGATTGCAGAGTGACTTTTATCAAGGCTCATGTATCTCTTGTGACCTGACCACAGAGTGATTTTTATCTAGTGCCATGTATGTCCTGTAACCTGATCACAGTGTGTCTTTCATCACAGGCCATGTATATCTTGTGATCTGGCCACAGAGCGACTTTCATCACAGGTCATATGTATGTCCTGTGACCTGATCACAGTGTGACTTTCATCTTGTGACTAGGCCACAGAGTGTTCTGTACACTTTGATTTTCCCATTTAAATCCAAGAAATATATTTGCTCTTTAATTGTGACCTCAATGAATCTGCAGGCCATATCGTAGACTGTCAACCATTTTGTTTTTGTTACAAGATAAATATGTACCTAATTTTGTATTAGTTGATGTAACACACATGGCATATGTAACAAAGCTGTGAGCTGATGCATGAAGTCCTGTCAGTTTGGGCATACTGCAGAGGTTTTATAAATTCACTTTAAAATGGAAAATTAGTTGAAGATTTACCGGTAGTAGATCTGAACTGAAAATCCACCATATTTGCTCTGTTTGTGGCACATGACTTGTGTAAATGACAGAAGTCAAAATTGGCCATACTAAAAGTATACTTTAAGAAAGTTCTAGCTGAATTATAGATTATGTTGTGTGTTCGTCGTACCGTCAGGATACCAAAAAATGAATTACAAAAATTGATGTCACCAGATGAATTTTCCCTGATACAAAGGTCCCAACTATCGTGGAAAATGGTCAAAATTGGCATTTTGACACTGGTTTCTATCGGGGGGATTATTTTTTTCATATCTCAAAATTTAGCTTATTGACATGGGATGAAAAAGTCAAGTCATATATTATAATCTTGAATCCCAATATGAAAATATTTAAAAAAAAAATCATAATTTATTGAATTTTTAAGGTGATAATTTTTCCATTATGTACGATGGGGTTGTTCTCCATAATGCATTGCATATATGTGCAGTAATATGCTCAGTAGATTCAAATTTGAATTCGGCTCGCACTACCTTGAGTATCCTTAATTTCATTGAGAAATTATGATTAAAGTATATCCTAAGTATAGTTTTCAAATAACAATGGGTATATTATAAGTATAGTGAATTTGAAACACAGAAATTGTATACTGTAGAATACTTTATTTTCGCTTGGAATTTATTTTCGCTGGAGGGATGTTTCCGTGAAAATAAAATCCAGCTAATATACTTTTTTTCCTATATTTCACATTAAACTCATTAAAAATTAGTGAAAATAAATTCTATACAAAACGTCTAAAAAGTCTTTTCAGCGAAAATTAATTCCAGCGAAAATAAAGTATTCCACAGTACCGGTACTTCAAATGTTTGCTAGGAAGTATGTTAAAAGTATATTTTTCTGTCAAATTAGTACAATAAAAGCATACTTTTCAAATGTATACTTTTAATGTACTTTCTATATTAAGTACATAAAATTTGAAACTTTATTTACTTTAATAAAAATGTTAAATATATACCGGCCGTTATGAATCAATTAAAATATCCTATAAGAATGTGTACACACACAAAAAAAACAATGTATATTATAATCTGTGGTGACTGCTTGGGACCACATGGACCACTTGGAATCGTTCATTATTTATTTCAGGATTCTGCAAATAAAAACTGCAAAAGTTTGCAGAAGAAAATAAAAAGAAAAATCTGTGTACAAAAAACATGAAAAAAAAACATCAGTTAATATTCTTCAACAAAAGTGCATGTGATGTAGAGTGAAACAATACTTAGCTTTAATCTGTTTTCAATCAAAAAAAATGTTCTCTGTTTTGATGTGTTGAATGTAAAATATAGGAAAAAAGGTATTTCACTGGATTTGATTTTGATTCATCCTTAGGCGAAGATAAATACCTAGTGAAAATGAGCCACACCAACGTGTAATCAAATTCTCACCAGTAAAACGTGTTGTCCAAATGTAACAAAAAACACAAAATTCAGCTCTACCTGCCTTCATGTATCTCAGAAAAATGAAATTTGAAAGTACTAGTTGGCCAGAACTTAAATAAATTAACATGCGCACACGCATCTCAAAGCAGATGCAATTGAAGTGAGCCCTCACACATCAAATTTTGGAGAAGTAAGCCCATTGGTTAATGTCATTGACGGCATGCAGATAATTGACGGTATAAAACAATTTAATATATTATTTTACTGTAAATGATAAAAAAAGGTGCGACAAAATCAAGACTATGCCACTGTGTCTTCTTTTTAAATTTGTCAGCCATGTTCAGTGATTGGTGATAATCCTGTTATAACGAACACTTTTCTAATGAATTTCCTGATATAATTAACATATTGCATATTTCTTGCTCATAACATGCATTATTCGCTTCATTATAATAAACACTTCGCAACAACAAACTAATTGAATTGTCCCTAAAAAGTTTGTTATGAGGTCTACAATGCAAATTAATATTGCTGATCAGTTTTTCTATTTTGCGTATTTCTGGTAGTAGTAAAAGATAACAGTATAAATTTTGTGTATTTAGCATCCTGACATCCGAGTTATAACATATGAATACTGTAAAATACTGTATTTTCACTTGGAATTAATTTTCACTATTTTGGCTGAAGGAATGATTCAGTGAAAATAAAATCCAGTGAATTTACCTTTTTCCTATATTTTACATTAAACTCATCATAAAATTAGTGAAAATAAATCTCGTACAAAACGTTCAAAAAGTCTCTTCAGTGAAAATTAATTCCAGCTAAAATAAAGTATTTTAAAGTAGACTGTTGAGTGCCGAATTATTGTATCACAATTTATAGTAAATATTTTTTTTATGGAAATTTATATAACATTAACCTTCATCGGCTATACAAGACATTTTGTAATGTCATTTACTCATGAATCATGGAGGTTTTTTCAATCATTGTTAGGTTTACTGTCATGCTTCTGCAAGCTTTCAAATGTAAAACATTCATGCTTTACAAAATTCACTGTAACCAGTACTTTATTTTTGAACAAGACTTTTGTTTTGTGCAATGAAACTACCTAATATACAAGTTGAACATCTGTTGAACTTTTGTTTTTGACTTCCAACAAAACATAACCTATACACTTTTAAGATAATTGATAAGCATATAGACTTATGGCAGACACTAAAAGAAAATGTCAAAGCTAACAACATAACACTCCCGGATGAAAGAGCTCAACAAATGTAAGAAAATGCAATTTACAGTTTTTTTTATATCACTTTTTATTATCTAAATATTCAACTTTTCATCAGTTTTATGTTGTCCATCATCTTGATTCTACAGCAAAGGATTGTGGGTAAAGTATGTCATCATAGCCACTGTTGTGAGAAATTGATTATTTCTGTAACCTCAAATTGGTTGAAAGTTTAGAACATGGTAGCATACATGTACCAGTGCAAAATATGCATATACAATAGTTGTCATGGTAACAGAACTGAAAATATTCATTTGTGTTTTTCTGTCAAATGCTCAATTTTTCATATATTTATACAATTTATTGATGCGAGTAGGTTATACAGATATATTACCTGTTGACCACAGAAAGGGAACGAAAGTGTCATTCTATTTTTAACAACCAAAATAACTAATTTTATTTTACATATTTGGCAATATCTCTACTTTATGTGCATTTGTAACATTCTAATTTCCATTACTATAATAATATATACGAATAATATGCACACCAAAAACTTGAACTAATTCTCATATCAGTTTTTTTCATGTTAATAGATAAAAACATTTTCTCTATTTTCTCAATATTTACCCACAATCATTTGCTGGAGGACTACACAAGAAGGATGTAAATTTGAATATCTAAAGAATGAAAATGGATGTAAAGAAAATGTATATTTGGCTTCTTACATTTGTGGAACTCTTTCAACTGGGAGAACAGAGTTTGCCTCGACTTTTTCTGTAATCGCCTACATAACAGAAAAATATCAAATTTGTATCAGAGCAAAATCAGCACTCAATACGAATTAGTACACTGAATTAGTTTCTGGCTTTTGGAATATCAAAAGAAAGAAATGAACAAACCAACTGTTTTCTTCAACACCCGCAGACACTACAAAACATTAAAGAGGCAACAACAGAAATTCTAATAACTGTATGTTTTAATGGCATTATACATGCAGAATAAAATGGTACAGAAAAATCAAAATTTTCAACTTTAAAAGAAAAGTGAATAAAGTGACTGTACAAAACTTGAAAAAAAAGATACACTACCTGGTAACATAATACAGATTTCATGGCAAATTGTGAATGGCAAGCTATAAAGAACACAATGTCCATAATTTGCTGTGTCTGCCACAGAAATCTTATCAACCAGGCAAAAAAAAAAATCAAATTTAAGCTCAGTCTATTCTCTACAATGAACTGCATACTGTGGAATGTTCCCCTTATTTCAAGCTAGGTTCCCTTCTACTGTATTGTTCATCTGGTTGAATATAGAGGGTGGGGTGAGGGTTGGAGGTAAAGCTCAGGGTAAAGAAATTCAGAGATTGAATGTAATATACAACATAACACTGGATTCCAGCCCAGTACAGTTGTAAAAATTAATTTTGTTTTCTATTAATTAAACATATGAATAATTTAAGCACAATGGAACAACTTTAACCTCAAATTGTTTTGTTGCAAAACAATTGTGTTTTAACCAGACATTACTTTATAACCATTTTACACACACGATATACAAGACCCAAAATAATTTTTTGGTCAATTGCTTTTTAAAATCGATGCGGTTAAATGTCATAGGAAGTGTTTGTTTATTTATTTATTTTTTTTTTAAATTCAGACCAAAAACCAGTGCACAGTAGCAGAAAGAAGAATTTTGTTTCCATCTGGGTATAGTTTAGATTTACTCGCAGACAAATAGTAATACTAATTGAGAGGACCAGTAAATAATAGTCACATGATTTATTTTATGATATTTTGCTGGAATTAAAGCAACAAACGTGACATAATATGTCCTCTCCAAGCAAATGACATGTTTTTATTTTCTTGAGCATTGACCAGCAGTGATAGAACATGGACAGTGCTGCATAGTATATGCCATTGAACCACATAAAAAGGTGGTAATCGCAACATTTTGTGGTAATTACCAATTTGATTGGTATTTTAAGGGTATTCCAACCAAACGTTGAATACCCCTAGCAGCAATAAATTAGTGGAGTGTTCTTTGCACCATGGACAAAGCAGGCATAAGAAAATAACATCTGCCAAAATTAAATAACTGAATATTAACAAACATTTTAATTATTGAGAAGGTATTCTACAAGAGTGTGCATTAGGTATGTAACATTAAAAAATATTTTTTTTTACTTATAATTACTTTTACAAACGTGTGTAGACTTTTTGTTCATGGAGAACTTGTTTTCAGTGTATAAACAGCTTCCATGGACAAAATGACAAAAATCAAATCATTAAAATAAAACATTTTATCTGAAATGTGCAAGATGACTCTTCTCAATATTTTTATTTTACTTTCTCAGCCTTGTCACAAAGAAATGGCAAACTACATTTTTAATTCAGAGTAGTACATCTATTCAATTTATAGTGCGGTAATTATACATAGCAATATGTAAAGCCAGTTTTGCCACTGACAGGAAACAGCCTTTTTTTTTTTTTTTTATTTTGAAATATACAAAAATACTTTCCTGTTTCTTTCAAGCATGTACAAGGATAGAAGTAAAGGCAGTGCGTATTTATTACACTATATACAACCGCAAAGAAGAGCCAATACAAAAGCTAATGTGATTATACATAATAATGGCTACTACCTTTTTGCTTGGCAACAGGGCATTGTTTTTTCATATACACAGACATAGTGCAACAGACGTATTGTTTTTCTGAGTTATGCTCAACTCAAATCAATTTCAGGAGTATCTATATGTATACATGTAGCCACATGACTTTATTCAAAAACAAAATGCATAATTTTGTTGCCTCTTCTTTGTGGGTGGCTTACAATTAGGTCAATTATTAAACTATGTGATTTAATTTTTCTCAGAATTTCTGCTCTTAATAATCCCATGCACCTGTTTTGGTAACACAGTAAAATGATCGCATGACAAATTACTACACATAATTGTTTACCTACACATTGGTCAAAGCAATAAAACTTGTATTGCATGAAATTTGGCACACTTCTTTCAACACCGTGCAGCGACGTAATTTTATTGTTATTTTACATGATTGCATTCCATTTTACAACATGCCATGTGTATATAAATGACTTTCTACACAACCTGGAATGTTCAGATGGCAACAGAATTTCAGCAAAATACACATATCTACACAAATGGACAACTAAAAATGGAGAAATTCTAAAAAATATACAGTGATTTTTTTATTTATTTACTAACCCGTCATAGTGAGAGAGAACATTTTAATAATTATGTGCACCTGCAAAAATAATCTCCAGCAAACGGGGCGGGCCTATATTTGCACTATTTTCCAATTTCGTACATTGAAAAAAGCTGTCTGCTATTGCCTGGTAGGCAAACAGCACACAGGTGTGTCTTATCTATATATAATACAAACATTTTTATGATGTATAATACCATCAAACAACAGCTGTAAATTGGTCAATGTATATATATATATGGTAGGCAGAATTACATATGTTGTTTATATGTAGTTAGCCACATGCAATGCAATGCAATCAATCTATAGGTATGTTGTCTAATTGGTCACCTTCCAAGTGGTACAGTTCAGTAGGAGTGCTGACATCCGCCAGATCATAGAAGTTTATACTGAACGGATCTGATCCAAGAGCAGATGATGGATCCAATGAAAAATTCATAGCTGGTGGAACTCCACTGACAGGGGTAAGTCCAGTAGCGGAGCCAGGAATCACCAAATCTAACCAGTTCAATTCAGAATCAATACTTGGTGTGCTTCCTAATGGCGAGTGCTGTGATTCTATTTCAATAGGTTCAATCTTGACTTTCGGCATTTTACTACCAGCAGTGTCAATTTTGCTATTCTGTAAATCTAACATATCTCTATCAGATGTACTTAGATCTAGAGCAGCCAGACTGGGATCCCCATTATCAACGTCCATCGGCAGTTCAGTCGCTAAAACTTGACGAGGGAGAGACTGGGATAGTTTATCCCCAGATGGAGCAAGGGCATTTATTGCTGAGTTGATTGTCAGAGCAGGAGGTGCTTGTCTATTTAGAGATGATGGTTTAGTTGCAACTGTCACAGGCTGATTTAGAATGATCGTCTTGCTAGGGATATTCTGGGGTGTTGTATTAGCCAATATTGGTACTGTAGTGAACACAACAGCCGTTGGTGTTGCAGTGGTGGTCGATGTTATCACTGTAGGGAATGAATGTACATCAAAATGCCTTGGCGTTGATGGTGGTGGATTATCTGTTTAAAAAAAAAAAGTACTACCATTAATAGAAATCAATGAATAATGGTTTTAGTAACTGTAATACAGCATTCGTGATTCACCGAGTACATGTATGAAACACATTAGTTGTGTTCACGTACAGCTCCTTAGCACGGGCTAAGAGGTCAAATTCATTAGCACGGGTAAAATTTGATTCGATTTTAAGACGTGGTCCAGACCCTTAGCGTGGGCTAACAAAGTGTACGCGAATGCTTAGCCCAGAGCTAAGCGCCCTATGTGGCGACCTTTGGGTATGAATATTATGCATGTGATCAAATATATACAACTTTCTCCAAATGGCAACTGAGCTCAGACGTAACAAAGACACAAACTAGAAGACGCATGATGTTCAATTCTAAGAAACAAAAATTTAATTAGTTAAACAAAAGTATTAGAAGAATGTTGCTTTGTCCTATGTTCGTATAACAACTCCATAGACGACTTTCCCGGAAGAAGCAAGACTGGGGTGCAAAAATACTTTGCTTTGTCAGGCTGAAAAAAAAACATGTCAGTTTGCTAATAGTCGATAGAATAAAATTTTATTTTTATTACGTTTATTAGTACAATATCACGTGTGCAAATTTACATTACACCACAAAACGACATGTACGCATCTGCGACTTTCAGAAACACACGCTTCCACACTAATCGGGTCGCTGTAGTAGAGCGTACAGCAGCCCCAATCGTTTACAAAATAAATCTGGTTGGCTGTCTGTATACTGTTTCTGTGCATAAGTTGGGTCCGTCTTCTCTCACGTTCCTGTGCACGTAGCTTCAAAATTAGAATGAAACATGTCAGCAGCAGAAATTTTGCATTTGTAAACAGCGGCTTAACAAAGGTCACCGACTGATGGCGCCACCTAGCCCGTGCTAAGAACAGGCCCATGTTACCACCTACACATTCACTGTATGTGTACGTATACTCTTAATTTTGGCAAGATGCCTAATCTGGTGTAACAATTGTTAGGTCAGACATCAAATTGTCAGTATACTTACATCCATTCTGTATTAAAGTCTCCAATAAATCTTCCAAATATTGATCCTTCTCAGCACGTTTTCCTGATTTGTTACCCTAAAAACCAACATAATACATAATTACATGTAGTAATTATTCAGACAATAAGTTATACAATGAATTCACAATACTTGGAAACACACAAAAATGAATTGTTAAAAATTCAAAGTTTTAATAATGGCATAACAAGATAAATTTCAACTAACATTTTTCAGGCTAACAGCCTCATAATATGATGGTAGTCTCATTGTGTCTTCTAATGAAGGATTGGTTGTAGATCTTGGGATCCCCGGAGTTTCCAGTGATGTGGTGGTCCCAGTTGGACTACTCGGTAGAGATGCAGACTTTGAAATTGAACTGTTACTCAAGTTGGTAACAGGCTGGCCTGTAGCTGTTGTAAACAGAATGGTTTGGTGCCCGTCTGGTAAAGTAACAATCAAAGGATGTTGCTGATTGGGCACCTGTACTTCTGAATCTTCAAAAAGGTTGGGTACTGGTGGTACCTGGGACTTGACTTTAGCTTGTTGGGTGGTGGGAGTCAATAGAGTACTTGGCAAAGTATGCTCCGAATCTAAGAAGAAGTTCAGAGGATGCGGGGGTGGCGGTGGTGGGGGAGGGGGAGGGGCTTGGTTAGGTGCACTTTGTGGCGACGGCGGGTTTGACAGGAGAGGTTCTGGTATTGTCTGACGCTGCATTTCGAATAGTTGCTGATCCCGTGATCTAAGTTGTTCTTGCAGAGCTCCAATCAGACGCCTTTGGTGAATCAAGATCTCGTTACTTTTTGAAAGGTCACCAAAGTCAAAATCAGTTATATCCATCATTTCACCTCCGCTGGTAGATGCTCCCATGTTACTATTACTGTCAATATCCATTGGAGCTGCCAGACTGCTAACTGTGGTTGATGGCGTTGGTGTAGCTGGAGCTGATATACTAAATGTCACAGGCTGAACAGTAGGTTGAGTGACTGTCACTGTCTGTTTCTGTGCTGGACTCACCACCTGAGTGATGTTAGCCGTGAGAGGATGCTGAGTATGCATTATGACTTGTGGCGGTGACATTGGATCTGCTACACTCATTGGTGAATTGGGCAAGTTGATGGAGTGACTGTACTCTGAGCTGCCGCCTGGTGACACTGGTGGTGAGCTCAAAGACCCAGGTGCACTGTTCAAGCTAGCATTCAGGCTGTCTTCAGTTATCATGTTTGGTGCGCTGGCAACTTTATGTAGATTTGAAGCATCTGTAGTAGCAGTTGTTGATGCACTAGATGCTGTGAATGTTGTTGTGCTATTAGATGATGTGGTAGCACTTGTTGAGCCATTGTTGAGTTTATTGCAAGATGTTCTCAACCTCTCCACCAGCTGTTGTTTATTGCCAGATACAGGCAGTCCTCTAATCTTCAGTTCAGCTTTTAATTCGGGAACCTTCATATCTTCCAAGTTTGTTGTGCTTTTTGATTTACAGATTGTCTGCTTTGACTGAGGTGTACTGCTAGTTGGGCTTGGGCTTCCGATGGATGAAGATGTTGAGACAGTAGCTGTTGTTACTGTAGCAGTTGATGTGGTCTGGTGAGACAACTGCTGTAGCTGTGCTGTCGTTATTGGTTGCTGGGGATTAATAGGTGGATTTGGTAATATGAAATGTCCTTGCTGCTGTTGTTGTAACTGCAACTGTAACTGCAGAAACAACTGCTGTTGTTGTAACAGTACAGAATATGAAGAATCCATTGATGGTTGTGGTTCACTCTTAGTATGCTGTTCATTTGGTGGTTTATACTCATGAAATTTTATCTCTTTAGGTTTTGTCTTTTTCTGTTTATTTTTCCGTGTTGTATGCTTCGTTGATTGCTGTCCGGATTTCAGGGATGCTGCAGCTTGCTGCTGTTGCATTTGTTGCTGCTGCTGCTGTTTGAACTGCTGTTGTTGCTGATTTACAACTTGAGTAACCCTATTAATGGCATTAGTGAGACTGCTAGTCGACATTGTAACTGTGTTAGCGTTGCCAGTCGGAGCGAATGTGAATGTATGCTGCTGGGGCAGGATGGTATATCTGTTGTCAGGTTCCTCTTCATCCTCTTGTTTTGTCAGGAATGCCAAAGAATCAGGAGGTGAAGGGATGGATGCAAGACCACCTGGTGCTACGGCCTCCATTGGTTGTGGAGGCGATAAGGCATCATCACTGATTTCCTGCGTATCATCATTGAAAACATCTGCATCTACATCTAGACTGTTAGTCTTTAAAAACGGCACATCTCCACCTAAGACAACAAAGGGTATTTTATTAGGTATAGTCAAAGCATAATAGTTACCTCTTTAGATGTGTATGAACATAAACATATAAAAGTACTATCGACACTTTGTATAAGAGATGACAGAGCATAGATTGAGATTGTTATACTGGAAAATATCGAATTTTCATTACTAGGATGTTTGATGTAGTTCATGATGACAAAATTTCATTGCTACAAAATAGCTGCCAACATGAATTCTTTTTCACTTCTAGCAAAGATGTATTTTTAATAGCTATCAAAACATACTATTTGTCATATTTGGACATTGTATTCTGTCACTGTTATACATAATCAGACAATAGACCATTACTCTACTCCCTTTCATCCACTCAGAATATGGATAACATTTTGATAAGATGGCAATAAAAAATTATGCAATTATTCCAGTGTTTGTAAAAATAAAAGCATATTAATACAGGCAAACTCCAACAAAGCACATCACATGACATGAAAAGTATGTCAAATTTAAACTTGTTTACGACGAACTCTAAGCGTTGTCCTTGTGTTGCAGAATAGAGTGATATGCACTTTCATGTTCCATAGTGTTCTACACTATGCAGTAGCCAACACACAACTCTGAAATTCTTAACTGTTTATTTTGTTATATTTCAGAAGAAAGAACATTATTGTTAGAAAATTATGTTGACATGCGGCATGCTTTGCGACAACTTTCTTGCAACAGATATTTCTTGATCTGGGGCTTTCATTTCCCAAATATTAGTTTGCATAAGAACTGTAAAAACTGTATTAGAAACAGCAGCTAATAATACCGGTAAAATAGAACAATGCAACAGAGGAAATGCGGCTTGGTGGAAATGGTGAATTTTGGGTTTTCAACTGTTCAAAAAAAAAATGGGTGCGGCTTCTAATACAGATTTTACATTACAAAGTAAAACACTGACTTCAAAGTCAAAAGATACACACTAAACTATGAAACGAGTGTAAGCCAATCTCAAGAAAGTTAATAAAAACTCAATTACTTTTTACAGCATCTTCAACAGCTGGTTCTGTTTTAAGAATATTTCCTTCTATCAGCTCTAATGGTCCAGGTCTATTTCTAATTTTTTCATTAAGATCACTAGATAACCTGGCACGTTTTAATCTCATCTGGTTACTGTGAACTAGCGGTTCATATTTCGTATCTGTAACACAAATACTACAGGTTTTAATAACCATAAATTACAATCTACAGAATATTAATATTTATTTCTAGAAAACCATTTAAACAGAGAAAGTTTATGAGTATGTGGTGTTCGTTTATAGCAAGGAAGATTATACAGTTCCATATATACAATATGTAATGTATACCGGGTACTGGAAATACACCTGTGTTGGGGTTTTTGATAATAAACTGAAACTTAAAAAAAAGTTTTGACTGTGAACGCAATTAGCATGCTCAACAAGCATCCTGACAGCTGATATAGCTCTGCTGTTAGTTAAAGCGCGGTAGTCGTCGCACCACGCATGCGCGAGATATATGGGTCTCATATAAACAAAGATGGAGACTTTGACTGTTGCGAAGATCAGCGAGTACAAACTGAGATGATTCCAAGCTTTAATTAGTAATTTTAGGTGATTGGAAGGTATCGAAGGAGTCACGGCCAGTAATCAGTGCAAGTCGTGCCCAGGTCAAACCTCATACTTGTGATTTCCATTTGAAGAGCGCATTGGATTGTGGGGAAAAGCAATGTTTATCAACACAAATGTCACACATGCGCAGCACGACGACTACCGCGCTTTAAGCTAATTTAGCAAACTATTTGCACCACAGTATATTAAAGAAAGAAATTCTCAGTGCAGAATGAATGTAAGGCGTGCATTTAATGTAAGAGATATTCATAATAACATAATTAAAAATAATGTTTTAAACAATGATCCATTTAGGTGAACACAAATCTGCAATTTTTGGGAAGCATGGGAAGTTACTAAAAGCCAGCTTTAGTTCATAATATCATAATTTATCAAAAATATTTGAAAAGTGAAGCTGTCTTCAAGAAATGAGAGAAGGTCAAGCTGAGCTATCAATGTATTCCATATCAAAGCAATAGGACTTAAGGTTTTCAAAAAGAAGTAAAAAGTACTTTTTAAAAAAAAAAACTTTTTACTAAAAAAAAATTTGAGAATTGAAGATATTGACAAAATTAACAAATCTGAGAGAGGACCATAAAAGTTACATTTGCAGTGAGTAGGAACCCCATACAGCTGATGGTTTTGAAAGAAGAAGTTGAAAATGTTAAGTTGCTGACAACTTTGCTCTGTCGACTAAGGCAACATCAGAGCAAACAAAAGCCAGAAAGTGCTACAAACATAGTAACTTTACTCACAGCACACAAATACTATTTCTCACTTATTTTTCTGTTCAATAAGATTATATTAATTCTTGCATTAATCTAGACAACACTGATTTGGCTTTGATGACAAAAACTTTAAAAAAAGCAGACATGTCACATAATTATGCCACTGAATCAAATACTTGTACCGAGGCATACCTTCCAATATATGGTGTTTGACTAATTCATCTCTTTCGGGTCTCATCCTAATCTTCCTCTGCAAATGATCACCAACCTAGAATCAAATTGTGAGGACATATTAATCAACTTGTAGTTGCTCAACACATGGTGGAAGTGACCTGCTAACCTGACCAGTTAGTCCTTAGGTCAATAGTGCCACCTAACTTAAATTCTAGATAACTGGTGACAAATGTTAGACAAAAGCAGCTCATAACAAGAAAGTGTAGATCAACAAACACAACCCCCCCCCCTCCCTCCCTTGATTATTCCTGACAAGGTCCACTGATTTCCATGGATCACGTAACTTTACCGACAACATGCCAAGGATGGTGAATCACCACAGACATTACACCATACTGAACCACTCACAGAATGTATGGTACATGTACAAATAAATCAAGCACAGTATGTGGAGCTATGTAGGAAAGTTTTACTACTTGACTCACACCTTTTACTTTACATTCCCATGTTTACTAGAAATTACATAAATAATATGGTGTGGTTTTTATAAATACTTTGGGAATCGAAACAAAGTTGATGTTGTACCAGAGTTAGGTTTAGCTTCAGTAATATATTCAACTACCATTGTATGAATATGTTCAGGTCAACTGAGATTTTAAGTTAACACTAGAGTAGTCACAATTGTCATCTTCAACATGGGTCCCACGTAAGATTATATATAAAACACATACTATTTGAATGTATACTACCGGGGGTATGTAACAACTGTGGCATTTTAAGTTAAACCGATAATTTACCCCCAAAAAATAATTATAATTATAGACACATTTTCATGATTTTAGTCATACTAATTTATATTTAAGACTGTTGAATCAAGATAACGTGTTTGAATGTCTTCTTTATTTGGAAATTGTGTGTTACGCTTACGTCATAATCAAACACTTTTCTTTGTTTACTTTGAGGTATTCTCATAATAACCTCATGGTATGCGTTTCTTAGGTTTACATACAAAAGTCACTATTGAAATAAGTAAATTTTCAAATAACTGTTATTTAATGAAGTGGGCATCAATTTACAACAACAAAATCACTGAACAGCCTTGATTTCAGGAAAATAAAAAGAATTTACAAAACTACAATGTATGTGCTGTCGTAGAAAAAGTTCAAACACAGCCATCATGAAATCATCTATCAGTGTACGAGACATAGCAAAGCGCATATTGTCAGGAAGTCATTTTATCGGCTTTAATAGCACATTTGTCGCTGCTATCATAGCTTAATTCAAAAGTTCACAGTTACCCACTTTCTGAACCTAACACAAATGGCTAAAAGGCTGAAAACATAACACACACTGAGATGACGTACACAAGGTATTGTTCCGCCTTAAGCAAACATTTCTAGGAAGCAGGACACGGTGATAAAAAAGATTTGAGTATTCATCTGCCGTATATTAAACATGGATGACACACCAACCTGGAACATAAGTTCAGTACTATATAGAGTATGGAAAGCAAAATTTCAGATGTCTGGCATGGCAAGTTGTTTACTGGTAATCACAAGTCATATGAATCTAGCAAACAAAACCATGAAGCGGTAGATGCTATCTGAATTACAATGTGCAACATTCATTACCTGTGCTCTAACAAGCCTTTGTCTTTGTTCATGAAATGCCGGAGGTGTTTTCAATGCTGCAAATCAAATAAGTAAAACAGTTAAACATACATGTATGTACTAGTAGATTCACTGACTGGCCAGTAACATGATGGTTTAGCTATTAACACAAGCCTAAAGACTAATGATCCATGTCTCAGACAGACAGACTTATTCAAATCGTTTTAATACCATTGCACGTACAAGTATGCCTGCAGTGTTCTTCCAAACTAAATATTCATGCAGTGTGGCAAATCCACATATTACCCGGTAATACTATTTGCATATTTATTTGTCATAATAAAAAAAAACCGCTAAAAATGCCTAGAGAAAACATCACCATTACAATGTATATCTTTGTATGTTGTATATGCCCACTTTGAACAAAATTAGTCAGTTAGCATCCAAGAAATTGCTTTCAGTCTGTCAAATTATATTGATTTGAAAAAACACAATGTTGAAGAATTGTGGTTAGATGCATTCATGGACAGACAAAACCAGGGTTAACAGTTCTACTTTCAATCAGCACTTGGGCGAGATCTTGCAATAAACGAAAAATCAACTATTCTATGTAATATGTGTATGGTGCACCAGTATCGATTTTTGTTTTACCCGTACTACGATACTATAAAATGCTGAAGAATGTGCGAGGTGAAGAGGCCATAACACCATGTAGCGCTATGACCACAGATGACATGAATTGGATCCATAGCAGTGCACATGTCAGATGAGGTCATCCAGATAAAATAACATGCATGTATCACTGTAGATGACTTTCATTTCACCGAAGAGTTGAATCAGCGAAAAATAAATTCCAGCAAGAATACTGTCCTTTTGAATTTGCAAGTTGTAAATACAGCAATTGCTGTTTTGGGTTGGAATAATCTACTGTAAAATGACTAATTTTCACTGGGTTTAAATTTCGCTGATTTACCATTTCAGGCATATTCAGTGCGTTTTAAATTCACGGTTATATCATTTCGATAATGTGTTGTATGCTCAATTTTACATATTCACTGGGTTTTAATTTAGCACATTTTCCAGTCAGCAAAATGAGCAAAATAAAAACCCAGTGAATAATTAATTCTTTTACAGTATGTGCCTAACATAATGAAAACATTACGCTAAGTGAAAGTGGGATCAAATAAATGACAGACCAATAAATTTAGGCAGAGGGTTCTCGGAACTCGCCTATTCACATTGGCTGAATCGCAGATTAATGCATACAGTTCAAAATAGTCATTTTGACTGACCGGAGTCTATGGTGGGTAATTGAACGTAGTGAATTGTACCCATGGAAACTCACTTTAGGAATTGAAAAAATGGTCAAAAATTTATTCATTTGACGTTTTGAGGAATCAAATATACAATAAATGTAATTGTTGGTTTGTGTGACTCAAGTGGAAGTTAGTGACCAGAAACCTTGGTAGCAAATCTTGTGTAAAGTCAGAAAACAATGAATCAGCTCAGCACAGATTTGGAGCACAGCCAGAGAGGAAGAAAATAGTTTTTTAAATAAGGGTAATAAGGTCATAAATTTCTCAACTTTACAGGTACTTCACTATTGTCATAAAGTAATACTAGGATTACTTGTGTTACTAAATAAACAATTCTGAGGATACAGTAATAAATATAGACATCGAGAACAACCTTTTGCACTTGGTTACTGAAATTACACCACAAATCAAAACATGTCACCAAATGATTTATATGTCATTGTATTTTGAAATAAGAATGTGTGAAAAAAATAATACAGTATACAATGTAAAAATTGGTCGCAGCTAACATTTGGGATGGGGATTACATGAAATTTGCTAAATTATATGAATTTCACATTTTCACATCTAAAATGTGCCAAAATTTAAAACAATAGAGAATCGTATAGTCAATGTTTCTATGGAAATAATTTCGGGTACCCATTTTTTTTTCCATTTTTTTTATTTGGCCAACTATTCAAATTTATAGTGTTTTTAAAATTCTTTTTAAAATGTCTATCCTCAATTTCAGAAAGATAAACCACAGGGAAAGGTTAATGTGAGAGCTGAGTATTAGGTACAGTAAGATACACTAGATTTGTCGGCTTTAAACAAAAGAAGTATCGTGTTACACTAAAACGTAATCTGATTAAAAAAGATGCTTTTCATAAATGATCCCTGGCGTATATCACCTGTTATCTACATCTGACAAACTGCCTACTAAAATCACACTCGAATTTCGTAGGATCAGCAACCAATCGGAGAGCTGATTACAGACAGCTTTTTAATAAAAGTGAACTCTTTTTGGATAACAAATCTTCATATAAACTCATCACTTATTAGCAAAGAATACACACATAAATACAAACAAATGTTTCAGCATTAATAAAATGCTGAAGAATTGTTAAAACCAACTTACGTGGAATAATGCCTTGGTTTACAAGCTCCTCTCTTGATCTTCTCTGTTTTAGTTTCAGTGCCAGCACTAAAAGACAACAAAATAAAGAAATCAGTACGGTAATACAAGGCTGCAGGCAACGGTGTGTAAGATTTATTACTCAGCAGGTCTGCTAGTTCCCATGCATATTTAGTATGCATGATGAACAATATATGCAAGCCCTTTTTGTCCATACAAAAACATTAGATCATATAAAGCCTCTATTTTGG